TTGATTTTAGTTTTCTCTAGCACTGGTGGTATGTTCTTCTATCTCTTCATTTTTAGTTTTTATGGGTTGTAATAGTGTTGTGCAACCATCCCAGACCTAGCAGTTCCACTGTTGATTCAGGCAGATGGAAAAAGCAACTTTGGAGCCTTAGATACATCTGCTATGACATGCCTTTAATGCTGAAGGGGAAAGGATACACAGGCAGGTAGGGAGGGAGACAGACCAAAAGACAGAATAGCAACTGAGCCTCCTAGCCCCCTTTATGCTGTATGTGCTCATGGTCACATAACTGGTACATTGCTGCTTTCAAAGTTAAGGGCTGTCTGTTGTTTACTTGATGCCTGGAAGGCTAAAAGGAGCCTGAGTAATTCCATGTACCTGACAAATAGCAAGCTTCCTTTTCTTTTTTTGATACATTGCCTTTATTCCCCACCTACAGGTATCTCGGTATAATCCTAGCTTTTTCAACCAGAATCTTTTAACTAGTGTCTGCTATTTCAAAGGCTTATGCCTGTGTACATGATCAGATGACTGGGGTACTAGTGCTCATAGGGGATAGTAGGTGGTAATCAGGCCAGTAGGGCATTGATTGATCACCTCCTGTGGGCACGTGGTTCAAGCTTCCTATAGTGCTGTGGGTACCTAAGTAGTGCAGTGGGGACACAGAAGAAGCCCTTCCCTGTTTCTCAGCAAAAAAAAAAAAAAAGTTTCAAGTAGTTTCATGCTAGCCCTAACCTCAAAGCTGTAGTTAAGCAATAGCTGTAGTGTCAGATCTGGATTATAGATGAGACATGGTCACCAGCTAGTGTAATAGGGTGGTCCCCAGGAAAAGGGGAGGTTCCAGGTTCCCTGCCTCACCCAAGGGAGGAGGAGCTGAGCAGGGAAGAAAAAAAGTGGGAGAAGGAGACTGAAGAAGGAAGGAATCAGGATGGAGAGCAAGGAGGAGACCTGAAGGAGGCACATGGAGCAGAGAGACATGTGAAAAGGCTACACTTGGTTTTTGGTCCTGTGCTCGTGAAAACAGATGGGGGGATGGTTACCAATGGAAGGTTTTATCTTGGTTTTGATTTGCTCTTTTTTCCCCAGACTTATCCGTTTTTGGCTCATCTTTATGGTTCCCCGCCAGGAGGTACTTTAGACTTATGGCAGGCTTTCAGGTCTTGCTTTTCAGTCCCGTTTGGGTGGACTTTTACCCACGAGGGAGGGGATGGGTAACTTTGGTGCTTAATTTAAAAACTATATTTTTTGTATTTTCTATATTACACACTAATTATATTAAAGTTCCTTTCCATTAAAGGTCTGTATGTTTTGCCTTGATGTGGCAGATGTCAGAATCTATTTAGAATGGACAGGTTTGGGGGTTCTGGAGTGCCCCACTCCCTGTCCTGTAACACTAGAACACCTTCTTTGTTTTTTGAATAAGAAGCCTTATCCAAGGCTTCCTGCTGCTGTTGTAAAGATGCAAGTGCTTCAACTTCTGTTTAATGATAGTGTTTGGTTGTTTTCTTGGCTTTTAAAGATTGTGTTAGGAATCTGTAGATCAAGTTGGGAACAACTAACACTTTTAGGATAATAAGAATTCTCCTCCACGCATGAGTTATCTTTTCAGGTTTTTAAAAATTTCTTCGATAAAATCATATAATTTTCTCAGGGGGAGGAGAGTGTGGTGGAGGATTTGTGGGCACTTTGGTTGTGGGAAAACGATGGTGACCACACCTATATTGTGAAAAAATAAAGGGTATTTAAAAAAAAATAAATTAATGAAGTCATTGTTTTTTGTGTCCTTAATAATATTTGACAGTATAGGATTTCTCTCCTCAGGTGTGAACATCATAAAAATAGAACACTACAACGTGTGTCATCCTTGCCAGGGGCCATGCTAATCATCTCTGTATCATTCCAATTCTAGTATATGTGCTGCTGAGTGAGCAATAAAAATATTTAATATTCTAATAAAGATTTAGGGTCCTTTGCAAGTTTTATCACTCTTATAATGATTTTTAAATTAATTTTCTATTATTAAACTATATAGAAATGCAATTGAATTTTGAATATTGATATATCCATAAACCTGTTTTATTAATTCTAAGAACTTAACTCTAGATTCTTTTTGAATTTCTCTGCGGAAAATCACAGTATATGTGATAAATATGAGTTTTAGTTCTTTTTTTTTGCTAATTCTTACACCTTTTATTTGGTTGTTTCATTATGGATTTTTGCTGGCTTAGACCTTTGATATAATGTCAAATACCAGCACTAATAACAGGCATTCTCATCATATCCTTTTAAAAAAGGGAACAGTTATAACATTTTCCCATTAACTATGATATGTTACACGTTTTTGGCAAATAGTCTTTATCAGGTTAAGGAGATTGCCTTTTATTCCTAAATTATGTAAGTGTTTTTTTTCCTACTAACTGTACATGCATGGTAAATTTACCATGTTTTTTCTGCTTTTGAATTTATTGTATACTTTTTTTTCTCTCCCTTGACTTGTGCCAATGTGGTAAATTATATTATTTTTTACTGTAAAGTCAACTAAGCATTTTTGGAGTAAACCCTACTTTATTATGATAAATTAAATATTTTATATATAGTTTGATTCCATTTTCAATATTGAATTTAGGAATTTTGCATTTGTTCATGGTAGAGTCCAATTTACTGTTTTCCTTTCTTACATTATCCTAGTCTTATTAAAGTAGCGAGGTAAAATTAACTTCATTTTTATTTTCCAAAATTTAATATAAGGTTGTCTCTTCTTTGAAAATTTGGTAGAATTCTCTTGTTAAGTCCTCTTGATTGTGTTTTTTCTTCATGGGACGATTTTCAGGTGGTGATTCAATTTTAAGTGATTGATTGTAAGTGTATATAGATATATTATACTTAAGATTTTTGAAAAGTTACTTCATAAATACAATATATTCATTTTATCTAAAAGTTCAAATTTATTAGCATGAAGTTTTCAGTGGGTTTTTTATTTTATTTTAATGCTTTCTATGTCTGTAGTTATGTCTTCTTTTTATTTCTAAAGTCTTATTTATTTACTTTTAAACATTTATTTTTTATTTTGTTGTTTTATTTATTTATGCAGACAAGATCTGGGGTGTAGGTCAGAGGTATGTGGGGGTGAGAGGATTCACTAGAGACAGTGGGAAGCAGAACAGGCGGATCTACTGAAATACACTGCTGAGGGGGATCAGTGGATGAGACAGGAGAGGTCTGCTGTGCCATGTGGGTTAGTTCCCTGGCCTGAATGGAGTGTTGATAGAACTGAGGGAGGCCATATTTCTAAAGTTTTGCTTTTATTTTGTCCTTTATCAGTTTTGCCCCAGATTTATCTAGTTTACTACCAAATTTTGGCCTGTTGAATCTTCCTATCATTTCTTTGTCTTCTATTTGATCATTCACCACCATTATTTTTCTTACATCTTTATATATGTTTGATTGTTTAATTTGCTACTTCTTTTTTTTAAGATTTATTTATTTATACAAGAAATGGAGCACAGGCCAGACTCACGGAAGGGTGAGAGGATTCACTAGAGACAGAGTGGGGAACAGAACAAGCAGACTGACTGAAATACACTGCTGAGGGGAGCAGTGGGCGAGACAGGAAAGGTCTGCCACACCATGTGGGTATCTCCCCAGCTGGCCATGATCAAACCTGTGCTGCAGAGGCTGCGGACAACTTCACAGCGCTGTGCTCAACCACCTGCGCCACCAGGGAGGTCCTAAAATGGTTTTATTACTTAAAATCTTTCTTTTTTTAGAAAAGATTTAACTTATTTAATTTTTGTGCGTGTGTAGAAGAACTGGGGTGCAGGCCAGAGGTTGGAAGAGGTAAGAGAATTCACCGAAGACATCGTAGGGAGCAGAACAGACAGATTTACAGAAATACACTGCTAAGGGGAACAGGGGCAAAACAGGAGAGGTCTGCTGTGCCATGTGGGTTAGCTCCCTGGTGGGAGATGCTGAAACTTAACCTCTAGGCCACCAGGGAGGCCCCTATTTTAAATTTTTAAATCAGTTTCCCTGCAACTTTTCTAAAGCTGCATTTTATAGTTAATGAGTCGGAATTTATAGACTTGTTTGATTCTTCACTGTAGCTCACATTTCAAATTGAGATTATTCTGTCCGCAGGTACTGCAGCACCTGGAAGCTCAGAACAACTTAGGCTAAATGGAGAGTATTTTCAAGCCCATTTTTTTTCACATGAAAAATAAATATTTCAGATCTGAGTAATGGGAGGACATGATTTGCTGTCTGTTCCGAAGATCAGAGATGAAATTGAAAGAAGACACCCTTACCCTTGTACATGTCTTTGGAATCTGTACTGGTGTGGGCAGGTTGCTATGAAGACTCCTGAGACTGTTTGTCTGCTGTGCTGGGCACTCCTGGATTAACCTTTGCCCAATTTGTAAAACCTCCAGCACTGGGGGAAGTAATCGCCAAAGAGGTTGCATGGGCACAGAACTTCAGTTTCATCTCCACCCAAAGGCTGATTCAATTTATTCTTAGGGGTAGAATGTGTGTGTGTGTGTGTGTGTGGGGAATTCCACGTGGGTGAAGTCAGCATCTTTATGCTCTACTCATGGGAATCCCTCAAGGGTAGGGAATCCTCAGCCACCCTTGAAAGAGGGCCATGTGTCCACTTTTTGCCTAAACTCAAAGTGCTGGGATGTGTCTTGTGCTTGCCTACACACGTCTGGGCTTATGTTCATTGTCTGCAACTTTGCCCAGTGAGTGCTGCAGGGGGGCAGCCCCTAGTATCTCAGACATGGCTCTTGGGTTTCATCTCCAGAATAAGGATAACTCCACAGATCTCACTGCTACCACCGCCACCCTTAAGGCTGAGGTCATACCTTATCTGGGATTTTAATGATGTCAAGCTGCTATAGAAAATTCAATAAATATCTTATCATTTAACAAATTAACAATAAAGTTTAAATATTTCAGCCCTAACATTTTCAGATAGTTCTGGAGATGAACAGTGGTGACCATTGGGTAAGGATATAAATACACTTAATGCCCCTGAAATACACACTTAAAAATAGTTTAAATGTCAGTTTTATGTTATACGATTTTACCGCACAAATTTTTTTTTAAAGATTTATTTATTTATGCATATAAGAGCCAGGGTGCAGGCCAGAGGTGCAGGGGGTGAGAGGATTCACCAAAGACAGAGTAGGGAGCAGAGCAGGTGGATCTACTGAAATACACTGCTGATGGGAGCAGCAGACGAGACAGGAGAGGTCTGCTTTGCTATGTGGGTCACCATCCTGACCGGGAATTGAATTTGTGCTACAGTGGCTGCAAATAGCTCCATAGGTGTTGCAACTTAACCCCTTGTGCCACCAGGGAGGCCCCCAGCAGTCTTTTTTTAATCGAATTTTATTGATTTACCATTGCTATCTTTATTATAAACACAAAATCAATTTAAATTTCATTAATTTTTATTGCTTTTAAACATGATTGTCCCTGTATATATACACAAAAGTACATTCAAATATTTGAATACTTTATAGTACAGCTTAATACTTTATAAAAAATGTCAGTTTCAAAGCAGTATTGTATTTGCTAATAATAACCAATATTTTGATTTTTCTGGGATACTTCCCACCTAAACTTAGTAAAATTCTAAAAAAAGAAAATTGACAAATAGTCCACTAGTAATTTGGGGATGAGAAGCAAAAATTGTCTAGAAACATATACACAAACTACAGTGTTTGTTTAAGTTACAAAGTTTTTACTTTAAACAATTATTTAAACTCCCTTTCAGAAACTCATACTGTCCATATTTTAATACTTCTTGAACATCTAAAACATATTTTTCTCTTCCCCATCTTAGTAGACCCTAGAGGGTACTGTCGTGATGTGACAAGGTGCTTTGAACACTGGCTATTTGAAAGGTTCAGTTTGCCAGATTCCCTTCAAGTAAAACAATTAGGAGAGAAACATGTGGACTGAAGCCTGAGCTTGTTATGTAGAAATATAGTCATCAGATAATTTTAAAACATAATTTAAAATATAATTTTAAAAGACCTTTTCTTGGCATGAAAAAAAAAAAGGAGCATGCTTATTATGGTATAATTTGGGGATACTGCTAAGTATGGAAAAGAAAATAGGCAAAAACCCTGTAATCCCATCAATGTGTTTAGTTCTCTCTTCTCAGTATACAAAAATATAAACATGTACATATAAAAATATGATTACACTGTTTAAAGAAATTGACATCGTTGTTTTTTCACTGGATAAAATGAAGAATTGCTTCCTCTTCCCCTAAAATGTTCTTCATAAGAATTTATGATCTTGGCTTCCCTGGTGGCACAAGGGTTGGGATGCAGCCCATGAAGCTATCAGCAGCCACTGCAGCACGAGTTCGATTCCTGGCCAGCCAGGGAGCAACACACATAGTGCAGCAGACCTCTCCAGACTCGCCCGCTGCACCCCTCAGCAGTGTACTCTGGTCAGTCTGCCTGTTCTGTTTCCCACTCTGTCTCTGGTGAATCCTCTCAACCCCCACGCTTCTGGCCTATACCTCAGCTCTAGTATGCATAAATAAATCTAAAAAAAAAAAAGAATTTATGATCTTAATTGGACAAAAATGAAAACCCCAAAACTTCAGCAACTAGAGAGACTATAATATATAATAATGATATTTTTAATTTTATAGCCATTGGTTAAGTTTAATTTTTAAAAATGTTTTATTATTTTTTAAGATTTATTTTTGTGTAGAAGAACTGGGGTGTGGGCCAGAGGTGGGCCGGTAAGAGGATTCACCAGAGGCAGAGTAGGGAGCAAAATAGGAGGATTTACTGAGATACACTGCTGAGGGGAGCAGCGGGTAAGACAGGAGAGCTCTACTGTGCCATGTGAGGTAGCTCCCAGGCCAGGGATCGAACTCAGGCCATCTCTAGGCCACCAGGGAGGTCCAAAGGTTTAATTTTTTATAAAACCTTAAAAACTATAAAGTTATTAATATATCTCATTTTGGATAACTGATGCCTCTCAGTTATTCAAAATGCTATTCCACAGGTACATGGTCTTTTATGTTTTCATAACCCCTCAAAACCTCAGAAAAGCCACCAAGTTAAGACACAGCACAAGTATAGTACAATCCACATTTCAGGTCATATCCAAGGATCCACTTGAAAGTGACAGTTTATATTGTCACACATGGATGATTGGTGGTCTGTTTGTAAAGTCCACATGCTGAACTCCTACAAGATGTAAAACAGAGTTGATGGGCTTATGATCCAACCTATTCCTATCACGGTGTATAAAATGAATGTTATTACCTAGAAAAGAATTAGAATAAAAGGCAGAGGTTGGCATATCGTATTATTAGATACACTGTTTACCAGAATTAACTTTTAATTAGTCCAAGAGGAACAATCAATTACATTATATTCTCTAATGCAATAACAACTTTTATTAAAGGTAATAAAACATAACAAGGATTATGGTTAAATATGAGTGATAATGTTTTATAAGATTAAAGGGGAAAGATTCTTAAATTATAACCTTCTGTTAGGTTATTAAATGCAATTAAATAAAATTTCCTGTCAAACAAATTGTCAGAATGTGGAACATAGGTATCAAGCTGGAAAAAAAAATCTAGCTTCTTAAATGTAATAATAAAACACATTTTTTTTAAAATTTCACTCCCAACAGTGACTTAATAGACTGCATTATAACCAGAGGCCAAAAGAAGTTGAAAAATAAAGACATTAAGGTAATCACAATACGATACACTTCAATTTCCACCATCTTGTCATCTGTTCAAATTTTAAGAAATCATACTTTAATAGACTAGGTTATGTTTACTTTGATTCTTGAACTCAAGACCAGAATTTTAACTTAAAATATTAGACTAGACTAACTAAACATTATAAAATAGGCATTTTTTTGCTTTGTACTTCTCTGCCATCGACAGTAATCACTAGATTTAATATTATAAATTCACTTATTATAAAATAAGTCAAAATAAAATATTGCATTAACTGTGAAAGAGAGTGGAAGAAATATACCCAGCTTTTTCCTTAGAAAGCTACATTTTTTTTCCAGTGGGTAGTATTAAAGTATTCTTATTAACTATGTTCCTAACTTAGCAACACAAATCACAGCTCTGTGTGCTCTTTATTCTTGCACAACTGAACGTGTGGGTTCAAATGACACTGTGACATGGAGATGAGGGACTCAAAGAATGAAATTGTCCAGGAATGAAGCTGGACATGAGTCATTCAGAATACAACTCAAGGTCACTCTGGGCACTCCATAGGACTCATTCTCATAAAACATTCTTTCTTTTTCAATTCACCTAACTGGTATACACTCAAGAGAGGGAAAAGGAGTGAATGACAGATTTTAGGTACATATAATTTATCAGCTGCGAAAAGCAAAACAATCCTAATATTTGGTTAACATTCTCCTTCTAAGGGCTTCCTTTTAGAGATCTGGAATTTATTAAAATAAATGTCACTTTTACAACTCTCAAGACACTATGGTATCAAAATGAACCGTTTTAAAGAGGGAGAAAAATCAAGCAAGAGCAGTTTACTGTCATATTTGGGTATTTGTCCCTAAATATACTTCTTGAACATGGTAGTGATCTAATACTCAAACATTTAGCAGAGTGAATCCAAAAGAACTTCAGGGGTCCAAACCAATGAATAATGTTATTAAAAGTTTGTGGCTTACAGCAATTGTTCTTAAATGAGTTGTCCCCTGGGGCTGGCTTGCTTTCTGATGCTGAGCAAATCTCTAGTTTAGTCAGTAATACCAATAACTAGATGGATTTCTCCATTGGCAAGAAAAAAAGTACTTGCTCATTTTTCTTATTTGGAAATGCTTACTTCCACTGAACTTTTTTTTTTTAAAGATTTATTTTTATTTATTTATGTGTATAAGAACTTGGGTGTAGGCAAGAGATGCACGGGGTGAAAGGATTCACCAGAGTGGGGAGCAGAACAGGCAGATCTACTGAAATACACTGCTGAGGGGAGAAGCGGGCAAGACAGAGGGGAGAAGCGGGCAAGACAAAGGGGAGAGGAGAGGTCTGCTGCACCATGGCACCATGTGTATTAGCTCCCTGGCCAAGGAATTGAACTCATGCCTCAATGCCTGGCTACAGCTTGATAGTGCTGAGACTTTAACCCCTGTACCACCAGGAAGGCCCCACCACTGAAACTTTTTAAAGAGCACTTATTCTTCCTATCCCAAATACCTGAAATCACTCAGGCATGGGTAAGCTCATTGCATCCCATAAACAGACATCAAAATACACAGAAACCTTTGAAAACAAAAGATATTCCCTACCAAAGCACAGAAAGCACAAGACGTATACTGTTGAATGAGGGCTTTAATGGTTACCTGGGCCTAAAATGAGGGTTCCACCTTGCTGAGCTGGGTCTCCTTGAAAATCAAAAAGAGGGCCAGTCACTGCCCGCCACAGGCTCTGAATGCTTCCCGAGAGTATATTTGATTTTATATGGGGGCTCTGTCCTGAAATATTAAAATTTGCCTTTAGACATTATCATTTTATATTCATTTCAATATTAAGATGTTAGTAACTTCTATAAGATATTCTCTTTTATGTGTGTCATCTTCCTTTCAACTAGTCTTTTTTTCTTCCTTCAAAGAATGATGATTCAGTTTTTCACTATTGAGATTGTGGACCAGAAAACTGTCCTGTGCAACGAAGGGTATTTAGCAGCATCCTAGTATTCTGCACCCACTAAATGCTATAACATTGTTCTCCAGGTTGTAACAACCCAAAATACCTTTGGATAACACTAACTGTCCCTTAGGTGGGAGTGGGGGGAGACAGTACCCCTTTGAGAACTACTGCTCTAAAGGAAGAAATAACGACAGACTCATTTGACTTTATACACAGAAAAAGGTAGTCTTCTCAAACTGGTACTGTTTTGCTCTTCAATTCTCACTGGTACTTGATTAGTCTCTCACCTATTATATGCTGTTCAAAACCTGTTTCCTCTTTCTGGTCCAGAAGCTAAACTACATTTCCTGCTCATTCTGGCAGTTTGTTATGACCACATGATAATGAGTAAAATGATGTGTGCCACTTCCAGGTCAGTTCCTAAAAACCTTCCACAAGCCATTCTCTGTGTTCTTTCTACATTCTTGGAAACCTTGGGTTGAAAATGGCAGAGCTACAGACAGAAGGGGACTGGGTTGTTCTTATATCACTGAATTGCTGCTTGGAGGAGAGGCACCATGTTATGCTTCAATAGCAACTACAGCTACTGCTCCACCTTTCTGTGCTGTCAATTTTTCGATTTCCTTTTTCACAATAATTGATGCTTTACTTTCACTCCCTTTGAGTAAAGAAATTCAGTGTTTTTACCTTTCTTGTAACTAATCTTTCTCCTATCCTTGCTATATCTGGCTTTTAGCTCATTATTTTGGTGATTATCCTGTTTGACCTGCCACTTTCTTACTTTTTCCAAATACCTACTACTCCCCTTCATCTCTCCAACTCTATTTCTTTCCTGTTTACACTAAACTGGCCATTCTACTTACCAGGAAACAAATACAGGCTCATGAATTCAAAGATATGGGCAAGACATTTAATTTTACTGTTGTCTAGGATTCTATGTCTAAAATGTATGTTCAGAAATCCAACCTATCTCATGTCCAAAGGTGGGGGGGGGGTCACTTAATATTTTCACAATTTTAGAAATTTGAGGAAGATTCTGCAATCCAGAATTTAACAATCTTTTCTGTTAAGTACAATCTAATTTTGCCAGTTTGAATTTATATGTAAAAATCCTGTTTCTGTCTTCTATAAGCCATCACTCTCTCGTATTTAATAGTTTTATATTATTTTTATCTTTATAAAATGTTCCATTCACTTAAAATTATAACTGTGAATCTCTACTGTTTTAATTTTCAAGCAGGACTATTTTGATGCTGATTCTGAGGTATATGCTTTATATATTTTCATGGAGGAGCTTTAAAAAAATATTTTATGAGAACCAAATACTTTGTTTGTAAATATATTAGTTTAACACAGGTCAAAAGAGTTTAAAAAATTTGAATATACTCTATTTTGTTTAGAATACCTCTGCTTTCTTTGCAATGCCATATCTTTATTGTGGCAACGAATGGTGAAGTGTTACTAAAGTGAAACTCACAGCTTATATCTAAAGTGCTAAATGATAAAATAAACCTTACACATGCTGAGACTGTTAAAACACAGAAAAACCATGTACCAAAAAATAAAGTTCACAATCTGCACTGTTGCAATTTCCTATACCAAAGAGAGAAAAAGAGCAAACCCTGTGTTTATACTAGCTCATTAGTTTTAATTTAGATGGCTTTCTTTAAAAACATCAATGAAAGGCTCATGTCATCTCTGCCTCCTATTTAGGCCCTGTCATTTCTTTCTAGCATATTACTACTACCTTGTGAAGAGTATCACTTGCTGCAGTTAGGTAGGTTCCAATTATTCCTCTATACTGAATAGGTGACTATATCACTTTTTTGCTTCAAACACTTCTATTACTCTCTTACTGCCTCCAGAATAAATTCAAACTCCTTGGCATGTCACCCAGACTCAGTATGAATTGGCCACAACGCGTCTCTTGGCTCACACCAATTCCCCAATTGGTTCCAGAAGTCCAGTAAGATGCTGGGGTCTGCATTTTTCCCAGAGGAAAACAAAACATCTTTTCATGTTTTTGCATATGCTACATTCTGTCAGCATTACCCTTTCCCAACCTCACTTTACCCAGCTAGCTCCTTTAAAAGTGTGTTCAGACAACAACTCCTCTGAGAAGCCTTCCCAGATCCTTCTCCAACCTTGCACTCTGGCACAGGCACTCCTAGTACATGATCTTCTCTATTACAAACCCTTAAAACTATATTGTAATCAGCTGTTTGCTTCTATCTCCCAGAGCAGATTATGACCTTCAATATGTCAGGGGCTGTGTCTTTTACTACTGTCCTCCTGAGAACATCCACCACAGTGGGTGTTATTACAGGCAAGAGGTAATATTTCTTCAGATGGATGATCTGAGTGTGAGTTCTTTTGATACTTCAGAAGTTCTTTCTATCTAAAACACAGATGTACCGTTTAACTAAAGCTTATGAAGCTCCATTAATTATAAATGATTGTGTTAAGAGCAGAGAAATGTGGACCATAAAAAATGAATAAAACACCAAACTCTTCAACTAACTACACTACCCGGCCACCTAAAGCACAATAATAGGTACGAAGTGCTATTAAAGTACAACCTGAGAAGCAATTAGTCTGCCTAAAGAACTATTAAGACTCTCTTTGAGTCAGGTTTCAAATGAAAACTAAAATTTCATCAATTAAAGAACATTAAGAGTATTCAGAGCCATGGTGTGAGATATGAAAAATAAATTAACTTATGCAAAATTATTTTTCTTTTATTCTCAAAAGTAAAATGTATTTATTAATAAAAAGACACATACCTTGTAGTAAACACTGCACTCTTAAAAACTTTTCCATTACACATGAATAATATACACTATAAATATTTATGAAAATGTTTTGTTTTCACAAAAATGGAACTAGACTGAGAGCAATGTTCTGCAACTTGCTTTTTCTCAGTGCTTCACAGTCTTCATTACCTAGGAAAGGAACTTTTAGAGTCTGGTGTACCTGGGCCAGTTGGTAGAATCATGAAAAATGACCTGCTTATGAATTTACTAGTTGTTTCTCTATCTTTGCAAATGTAAAATATACCATCAGCACTTCTCTTTGAGCCATGTCATGTCTTACCTGAAGAAACAATTTCTTCACCTCTTTTCATTCCCAATCTTTTAAAAATTTCTCTCTCAGGGTCAACATAGATTTCATGAGAATATCCAGTCAGTCTGCAGAAAGGCTGAAAAAGGAGACTAGCTCGAATTTTTATAAGAACAAATGAGAGAAAACTAATGGTAATCTAACTTAATTTTAGCAAATTTAACCTACACTTGGTTCTTTAAATACTGTGATTTTTAATGTTTGGAACAATCTGTCAGTTTCTCAATTTGCAATATATTTACCTCAATATGATGGTAGGATGACTGTCCAATCACTATTAGGGTGACATCTGCTTCCTTTAGACAAAAAAAGGACAGGGGCATATTAGAAATTACATTTTATTCAACTTCCCTATCCAACTTTTGTTTCATTCTAATGCCACCTATAGGCTTCTAGGAGAACAGAATAGCAAAACTCAGTGAAAGTAAAAAAATATATGCTAAAGTGTTCAATTAATTCAGATGACCTTTTGCTAAGAATTTCAAAACGATAGTCAGTAATTCTATACTCCCTCCCAAAAGCATACATTAAAAAAGACACTATTAAAGTAGAGTCACTTAACCAAACAAGTAAGGTGATAATCTTCATTTTTAAGTGCCTGGAGAGGCGGGGCCCTCCAAACTTCACCCTCTATACAACTTCCAGGGACGGGCAACTGTCACCAGGCCCCCTTAGGCCGACTCGCTGCTTCGAGCCTTCGAGCCTAGGAAACTTACTCGTAAGAAGCTCTTGGGAATTTTGGCCAGATCTTCTACGTATTCCTTGCAGATATAACACAGGAAATGCTGCAATCCCAACACGGCAGAAAGGAAAAGTTAGAGCTTACCACCCGCAGGGCCCAGAAGGCGCCAAGATAACTTTGTGATGAGTGCCACCGAAACACGCAGCACGCAGGGCGGAGAGAAAAAGGTGTCATAGGCCCCAAAGTGCATTAAAAATGGACCGCACCCCGTCCCTGCCAGGCCTCCTCTCGCGCCAAGAAAATGGCCTGGTGTGCGCGGGCTGTTTTTCCACTCCTGTTAAAGGAAGCGAGAGGCGCGATTCGCCTTCCAGAAGCTTCCAGAAGTCGCCCAGGGGCAGGCGGGCCCGCGACACTCGGCCGGGACCCTCCGAGGGACTCGACGTCCGCCTGGGCCGAAGCCGCGGGCCCGCCCCTCCCAGCCTGCGGCGGGGCGCCTCGGGTCTCACGCTCACCCGCACGAAGACCACCACGGCCCGGCGCTCCCGGAACAGCTCGCCGAACGGCACCCGCCTCCCGCGGGCGTCCAGCACGGGCAGCTCGGCCACGCCGGCGGCCAGGGCTGCCCGCGCTCGGGGCCGCTGGGGACCGGGGCCAGCGCGGCCCGGCCGCTGACCTGCCGAGTGACCGCGGCCAGGGTGGGGGCGGCCATGGCGCCCCGCTCCCCGCCGGGGTTAGCGCAGGGCGAGGCCGGCAGAGCGCGGGGGGAGCGCGGGGCCCGCGCAGGGCGGCCCCTCGGGGGCGGGGCTGGGGCTCGGCCCGGCGCCCGGGGCGGAGCTGCGCGGGGTGCCGACCGGCGGGCGCCCGGGCGGGGCGGGGCTGTGTAGGCCCCCAAAAAGCCGGGGTCTCGGCTGCCCGGGGCGCGCGCCCTCGGCCGGGAGGAAACGCCTGGTGGCGCCGGGTTTCGGCGCGGCCCTGCCAGTCTCGAGGGTGCAGCGAAGTGCAAGCGGCAGCGCGTTTTCTGACTCAACTACTCATGGTGAAAGAGAGAAAGAGGACCCCAAGCAAGAAAAGCCTTAGTTAGGAAAAAGGTCATCCTCCAGAGCTTCCTGGACTGAAGTTAATTCTTTCCTATTCGAGGGAACCACTTTCCATGTGCTTTTATTTTTTCAGATTTTTATTATTTTAATTAATTAATTTTTATTTTCTTACATCGTTGTTCATGTTTGGACAGTGTTTGATTTCTCCCCTCAGGTGTGGTCCGTAGTTTCCCCACCGGTGATCCCCACAGCACCTGTAAGCCATCACCTTTGTCCCTTAGGCTTTTCCCTCCACCCCCTTGCTCTGTGCCTCAGATTTATGGTCAGCTTGCAAATTTTATCTTTGTCATGGTCCTGCGTTTATTGAAGCACTATTTACAATAACTTATTTTTTTTTTTACACTAACTTAAATATGGAAACCAAGCACTTTTAAAAGAATGTTCTGTGGAGAACTAACATATCTGTGATGAAATAGATTTATTGTTTTTCCCTTTTATTCTCTTTTTAACCCATTCCCTCCTCAGTTCTGGCATTTTATTGTTGAGGTATCATTAACATACAGTTATGTAACATAGTTTTATGTAGAGTTAAGTTTAATTCTTAAATTTAATTTTTCAATAACAGATGCTGGGAAAGCTTGGCAACTCCCTGCTGGTAAGCCAATCAGGAGAGACAAGGTCTTGGGTTTGGAAAGAGAGGTTTATCCAGAAAACTGGTATGCTGAGAAAAGGGGGACTCTCCTCAAAAAACTTTCTCAATTACCTGGGCAAGTGGGAGACGATTTTTCTGTTGGTCATCCTGACTCAGTTTTTCCTGTTGTTTTTCCCTACTCCTGTGAATCTCCTGGCTGTTGTGTTAGTGCCTAGCCCAGGAGCACCCAGGGACCCCACCTTTAAGGGGTATCATTTCTAAAGGGATCAGACCATCTATGTGCATCCGCCATTTGCTGTGATAGATCTTTGAGTTAGCATGCATAGAGAAGAAAGTATATTCCTAGTAATAGTTACCCAATAAAACACCCTCAAATCCCCATCCACCTGTGAGCAAATGTCCAAACAGGGTACTCTGGAAGTGGGGCAGCTGCGGTCCAAAATCTTGCCACAAAGGCATCTTGTGGCAGTGGGGAATAGCAAAAAAGGGATAAGGCAGGTCCCAGAAAGCTGGGACAAAAGGAGAAAAAGAAAATGCAAAATAAAATACAAATCAAGATAACGGCTCTTTCAGGGACAACATTCCCAAGTTATCTTTCACGCATGTCTCTTTCATGTCTCTCCTCTACATGTCTCTCCTCCACACATCACCTTCCAAGTCTCCTGAAGTCTCTGGGTGCAAGAGATATCCAGAGAAGCAAATGTACCCCAGAGCCCATTGTCCTTTGTGGTATATAGCTTTACTTTGCCACTCAACTCCACCCATAGTTCCCTGTAACTCTCTATTCAAATGTCCAGTTCATGGCACACTGGGACCTGTAATCTAAGGGGACTGTATGTGAGTGGGGGCCTGGAAAATGGTACCTCCCCTTCTAGGAGGTGTAACAATTTTGTTGGTAGCCAGCATCATCATAGTCTCATATATTTTCAATTAATCTGTCAATAGAAACAACTTAAAAGGAGTGAGGTTACTGCTGGGGAGATTGAGGCGGTTTCAGTGACATTAAATGGTTAGTAATCGGACAAACATAGGTAAGTGTTCTGAAGTTTACAGTAATGACTAGCTCAAGCATTGCTTTGTGCTTTCAAATCTTTTCCAAGAGTTTATCATGGAAAATTAAAACATGCCCCAAAAGTTGAAAGAATTTTACAATGAAAATGCCTATATCTGCTGCCTAGATGCTTGTATTTTTTTAAAGATGTATTTATTTATGCAACCAAGAACTGGGTACAGGCCAGAGATGCGGGGGGTGAGAGGATTCACCAGAGACAGAATGGGGAGCAGAAAAGGCAGATTGACTGAAATAAACCGCTGAGGGAAGCAGTGGGCTACATAGGAGAGGACTGCTGCACCATGTGGGTAGCTCCCTGGCGGGCCAGTGATCGAACTCAAACTTGTGCTACAGAGACTATGGATAGCCTCATAGTGCTGTGCTTACCCCTTGCAACATCAGGGGTGTCCAATATGCTTGTGTTTTTACTCTATCACATTCATATGCATCTGTCCACATTTAGATAAATTTTGCCTGTGAATTTTGCCCATTAGCCACACGCTTATCAAAATATGGAAAAGTTACATTACTTAAGAAAATCTTAACTTTTTGTTGCTATTGTTTAAGAGAATATGTAATGAAATTATTTTAGAAATGTAGTAGTGTTGGGCCTCCCTGGTGGCACAAGGGGTTAAGATGCAGCCTATGGGGCCTCCCCGGTGGCGCAGCGGTTGAGCCCTGGGTTGCGGGGCTGCCGGCAGCCTCTGTGGCGCCGGTTCAATCCCCGGCTGCTCCCCAGCCACTGGAGGAGGGTCCCGCATGGCGTGTAGACCTCTCCTGCCGCCCGCTGCTCCCCTCAGCAGTGTACTTCAGTCCTTCTGCCTGCTCTGCTCCCTGCTCTGGCTCTGGTGAATTCTCTCGCCCTCCCGCGCTTCTGACTGTACCCAGTGCATGTATAAACAAAAAACGAACGAACAAACAAACAAATAAATAAATAAAAACATGCCTCTAAAAAAAAAAAAAATTAATTAAAAAAAAAAAAAAAAAAAAAAAAGATGCAGCCTATGAAGCCTGAAGCACTAGTTTGATCCCCGGCCAGGGAGGAGACCCACATGGTGCAGCAGACCTCTCTTGACTCACCTGCTGCTCCCCTCAGCAGTGTAGTTCAGTAGATCTGCCTGTTCTGTTCCCCACTTTGACTTTGGTAAACCATCTCACCCTCCACACCTCTGGCCTGTACCCCAGCTGTTGTATGCATTAAATAAATAAATCTTAAAAAAAAAAAATGTACTAGTGTTACTGAACTCAAGGGCTTTTATTTTCTTTTTCTTTTTTAATTTTCTTACATCATTTGTTTTTTATAGTAAGTGGCACTTAGGGTCACCAACACAAGGAAAGTTACTTTGGGCTGGTCAGCCACGGGTGTAACATGGTCAACCATGTTGGGTGCCATATTGTTACAAGGCAACCCCAATGTGAAATGGGTTGCCTGACTGTGGGTCCTCACCTGCACGCTTAAAAAGGACTTATAATGAGACTCAACTGCAGGTACACACAAAAAGAGTAATAGGGTTTATTTATTTTTAAAAAAGGGGGGAATGAAGAAATGAATAGCTTAGGAAGAAAGAGAGATAAATTGGTGAATGTGTCCTACCAGTTCCACTGAGCTGGAACCCCATAACTCTCAAGGCCCACATGTCTGGTTACATACCAAGCCTGGCTGCTTAACTCCACCCTTATTTCCCAGCAATCCTCCTGTAACAGGGTGGTCCCCAGGAAAGGGGGAGGTTCCAGGTTCGCTGCCCCACCCAAGGGATGATGGAGCTGAGCAGGGAGAGAAGAAGCTTCAGAGGAGACTGAGGAAGGAAGCAGCTTGGAGAGCCAGAAGGAGACCTGGAGGAGGCTCACGGAGCCTAGAGACATGTGAAGAAACTGCGCTTGTCTTTTGGTCATGGACGGGGTGACACAGATGTGGGTGAGACCCGTGGGGAGGTGACAGTGGCAGCTTTTATCTTGATTTTGATTTTGCTCTTTTCTTTCTGGGCTTGTCTGGTTGTTTCTGACCCTTTTCTGTGGGTCCCAACTGGAAGATGCTTTAGACTTGTGGCAGGCTTTGAGGCCTTGCCCTGGGCCGATCCCATTTGGATGGAGTTTTACCCACGAGGGGACGGTTCACATTGGGTACTTGATTTAGAAACTATATTCTTTGCCTTTCCTGTATTGTTTCCTAGTTTTATTAAAGTTCCTTCCCATTAAAGTCTCATGTTTTGTGTTAATGCAGCGGATGGCAGAACCCTATATAGAATAGGCAGGTTTGTAGGGTTTGGGCTGCCCCTCTCCTTGCCCTGTAACACTCCCTTCGGTGGTGATGACATTATGGGATTCTAATCCTTGGTGTCTTGTATCTCTTTGGTCTGGGGTGAGGGTGGAGTCCATAAAACCTATTTGTGGAGTTTGTTGAGGACATCCTTTACCCCCAACAGTTTCTCCTCTCAGGTGCAGTCGCCATAGTTCTCCTGCCACTAAATCACCCCTGTGCTCAATGGTTCACTGCTTGGGAATGTCAATGAACAGACCAGACCCAAGTTTTGTTGCAGAAAGAGTAGTTTAGGAGAAAAGACTTAATAACCTTGGCCTTTACATCTTTTCTCACACAGACATTAATTGACTGTTGATTATGTAAGTTAAAGAATGTTTTTGAGGCTATACACTTGTTCCTCCTTTCTCATTAACCAAGACTGTTAGAAACCAATCTTTAACTGAAAATATTGTAAATTAACCAGGTTTTTTTTGGTTGTTGTAGTATATGTTCTTTATGCACACAAAACCTACCTATATAAACTGAGCCTGTTGCTGAAAACTCAAGGGCCTGTCTATTGAATGTGCATAAATTATGTGGGAAAGTAATTATGCCCTGAGGGTTTGAGAAAGGAAAGGACTTTAATGCAGAGTCAGCTCAAACAGGAAGTAGCCCCAAGATTTAGATGTATGTCCCTGAAAGCCAGGGGAATGGACTTATTTCACGTTTT